TTAAAAGCATACCTGGTAATACATGATTCACAATAATATGTTTTTTTGCAACATGTAACATATAAATGTGTTTTAATTTAAAAGCAGTTTTGGCCATCTGCAGGACAGACATTCCCATTTTTGTCATCCAAGAATTTGAATTATTTTATGTTTACATGATTTGATTAAAACTACATCATAAATCATGACATTTTTCCTCATGCTGATGCACTTAATTGTTATATTGTCATTTGGCATCATTGGTAGGCACTTATGAGTCTCATTCTGTCCTACCTGAAAGTCAGAGGATTGCTCAAAAACAGTGAAGAAAAACTAGTATGTAGAAAATAATTTATTTTGAAATATTTATACTATTCCATCAAAATATAACAATAAATTTTAAGTTGTGATTGTTGATTAATATACAATATTCAAAGACAAAAAACTAAATGAACAATTGCAGCATTCTTTGACTAAACTTAAAAATGTCAAGAATGTTGGTAAAGTTTTTTTTACACTTGCTGTTAAAGACTTATCCTTGAATATGTACCTTATATTTGCATACCAGTGGCATTTGGTGACTTAAAAAACGATGTTAAGTATATAACAATATAAATGAGAACAGTTTAAAAGTTACTATTATTTTAATTAAAATAAAAATTAATTAATTTAAATTAATGTAGCAAGAGAACTTAATTGAATAAAATTCTTCAATTAAATGTTATTTATATAGCACACAACAACAGTTGCCTCACCTCAGTGCGCTTTATAATGAAAGTGTCTACAATAATAAAGAGAAAACCCCAACAATCATTAGTAGAGCACTATGAGGAAAAAGTCTCTTTAGCAGGAAGAAACCTCCAGCAGAACCAGGCTCAGGAAGGGGCAGCCATCTGCTGCAACAAGTTGGGGATGAGTCTATGAAGACATGACAAAGACATGCTGTGGAACTCAGCCAGAGATTAATAATAACTAATAATTAAATGCAGAGAATTGTATAAACACACAGTGGTGTTTTTGTGTAGCTTAATCTGCGTAGCAATTTAATACAAAACTTATTAATAACGTTTTATTTTGTAGTGTAATCTCCACATGCTTCCAAGCACACTCTCTGTGTATTCACTGCCTAATTTATAGTTACAGCAGAAGGTAACATAGGCCCACTAGCTGTCCCCTGGCAGACTGTGCCATGCAGCCAGAGAAAAGGGTGGTTGGGTGATGGTAAGGACGAAGTATAGTCTTAAACAGAAGCCCCTGGTCCACGACAAAGCTGTTCATGTGTCTAACTGCTTTCCCCCACTCGGCAACACAGCCGCCGAGGATCAAACTCTGGTAATTAGTGATTCTGTTCTGAGACATGAGAAGCAAGAGACACCAGTAACCATAGTCAGTTGTCTTCCAGGGGCCAGAGCAGGCGACATTGAGGGAAACTGCTGGCTAAGGCTAAATGTAAATTCAATAAAATTAATCACATTGGCAGTTATGACACCCGTTTACAATTGGAGGTCACTAAAATTAATATTGAATTAATATTTGCCAAAGCAATTTTGGACTCTGCGGTTTTCTCTTGTATGTGAGGAGCATGATTTTGAATTTAATTCTGGATTTAACAGGGAACCAATGAAGGGAAGCCAATATAGGAGAAATACACTCTCTTTCTAGTCCCTGTCAGTACTCGACAAGACCGCAATGATGCATTGAGTATTTCTTCTTCAGTCACCTTTCTCACTTAATAGACCTATCTGCATTGAATCACACTTGGTTATTAATCTCTGGCTGTCTTCCACAGCATGTTTTGTATCCGTATTCCTTCTCTCTCTCCAACCAGTCATGGCAGATGGCCCTGCACCTCCCCGAGTATGGTTTTGCTGGAGTTTTCTTCCTGTTAAAAGGGAATTTCTCCTCCCCACTGTCACCAAAGTGATTGCTCATAGGGGATCATATGAGCATATGGGATTTTTTCTGTGTGTATTATTGTATGGTCTACCTTACAATATAAAGTGCATTGAGGTGACTCTTGTTGTGATTTGGCGCTGTATAAATAAAATTGAATTGAATTGAAGTCTAACTATAGTTAGACTACTTTACCAATTTGAAATTGTTGGTTAAACCTGCACTTATTCAATTTGCCTGTTATATTCAAAAGGACATAACACGAGTTCCACTGCCTATGATTAAAATTTTCATATTAATGTGGTAAATAGGTGATTAAAAGTTTCTTACATCACACATTGTCTAAGGAGCTTAGAAAGAAAAGCGTCTGGACTTCTTTAAGTTCAAGCAACCTAAAGAAGTCCAGATGCTTTTCTTTCCAAGCTCCTTAGAGTACAATGACCTGGATGAATGAGAACCTTTACAGACTTACATCACACATCTTGGTCAGTGTATAACTAGGCAGTTTAAATCTATATCATCATTTACTAGTAGACTTACATAATTAACATTAATTATATATCTGAAAAACAAGATGTTTAACTTTTACTTTTAAAAATACATTTAGTGGAATACACCGTGAGTGACCTTTTAGATGCACCACTGCATGTGGCAAGTATATAAGGGAAAGAAAGGCGTTTGGCTGCTGTCAGTCTGGCGCAAAGCTTACAGGACAAATTTAAAGATAGTGACAAAGTCAGCTAGAAGTTTGTTTTTATGCAGGCAGATTTAGTTTCAGCTTGGATTTAATTTAGTTGTTCTGCCACTGTGGAAAACAAAGCAGTGGTGGATGGGAGCACTTTTCTTCACATTTAAGCTTTTTGGACCCATATCTGCAAGGGCTTAAGGGGAGGGGACATGAGGGCAACAGCACAAGCCATATGTAGCACTGGTGGTGAAATACTGGTAGTGGGCATGTAAGGCCTGTTAGCACTACTTCTTGCCTTCTTTGTATGTAGTATAGGCAGTATAGTTACCTTTAACAACAATACCAGAACAGAAGGGAAATATGGGCCAGATCAGACAGATTCTAGATTCGTAGGAGCCAAGGGTGTCTGACAAGAACGCTCTAAAAGTCCTGCCTCCACACCATTTATCCACATATTAATTAAACTTATGTTTTGTTTACATGCTTTGTATCAGTATTTATTATATTTAATTGCTTTTTATCAATATTTATTCCCATTGTGAAATGAGTATTTTAATCAAAAGTATATCAATATTTATGCTTTTAATCCCGTTTTTAACACTGGGTTACACATACATAAGCTGAGTCTCCAAAGAACAACTGTGTGTTAAATACATTTATTTTACAATTTTACAAACAGCTAATTACAACTACCTACCTACTACAACTCCACTCTTCCAGGAAAGAAAAGAAAACACTAAACTGTAGAGTGAATTAAAAAAACAGACATGGTGCAACAGTTCTCTGAACTCTGACGAAATTAAGGACGTTAGTCTGAGGAGGTGCGTTGACAGCCAATAATTGCTCTTTCAACACTTTGAGGGGCCTTCGCACATTATGTGCAAACACTAAATACTACACACTAAAATCGTGATATTCCTGCTTCGCCTTGCAATCAGCACACACCAGGAAAGGCAGACCTTCATCCCAGTCTCTCTCAGAGTCAAGGCAGTTTTATGCAACCTCTCTAGTGCACCTTGTGGTTGGAGATGCTATGGGCTAGAGAGGACATGCACACTACATAAAGATTGGATGCCTGCCTGAACACTTTTGATTGAAAATTTCCCTACGTTACCTCTTTGCTGCCTCCTGTGTGTCTCGATGAGAAGGTGTAGGTCTACCAGTGATGATAATCTTTATTGATGTTTTCTTATCAGTTATTTTGTTAAGATAAATAAAATCCACTTGCTCTAGAGCTACTTAGATTTACACACTGTCATAAATGCATTTTACAGTTCACAGACAGCAGTTTTTAGTTCCAGATGTGAGTGAAACAGTTTCGAGTCATGCTATCATCAGTGTCTTTTTGCTTTTTTCCATGACATTAAGAATTCTCTCCTTTTCCTTCTTTCTCCTTCATATGCTTCTCTTTTCTTTTAATGTGAGTATGCTGACTGTACAAATAATGAATTGACAGCCACCCTACTTGACAGGTAGCACAGTGGCCCAGAGCCCTGTACCCTGTTTCTTGTCATTAGTTTGACCTTTAGCACCCACTAAAAACATTGCTGCAAACCAAATGTACCCACTCCCCACTGGTACTCCTCACAGCAGGAGTCTGCAAGAAAGAACAAAATGCCATACCTCAAAAACTACTCAGGTGCTTCAGGAACACCACAAAGGTATTTACTTGACCTCCAGTCTCCCTAGAATCCAATAAGACCTTAGTCCAACAAACTCAAATAATCCACTGCCATTGTTGCAAATAAATCTTTTATCTTGAAACAGGACAACAGAAAACTAACATTTACTGTGTAAGAGGTTTTCCAGCTGCTTGTGGTCAAAGAATTTGGCAATAATTTCTTGCTATCATCAGTCACCAGCAGTATTTCAGTATTTAAGGACTGGCTGGAAACTTCAGTTCCGTGTAAAATTTAAAGTGGGTTTTTTAAAACCCCATCATTGTGGTATGCTACTATCATCAGCTATACTATCACAAATACAAACAAATATATTGTTCACAGTGCAGGGTATTTAATGGAACCCATTCTATCTGAAAGCACGAGTATGTCCAATGTGCATGTTATTTTTAGCTTATCTTTTTTCTGTCTTGGCCCATGAGGAGAAGATGAAGTCACTGGTTTTAAATTGCAAATATTTTCTAAAACTGGCCAAGTCAAACATCATCAGACTGTGACTTGAGATAATCTCATTTCAATTAGTAAAAGAAAGAACAGTGTGTTTTACCGTTGTGACAGATAGTATTTGGTTGTCTCAGTATAAGACCATTTTTCAGTTTAGTGTGAGGGTTAGACAGGGACTTTGCCTTACCTGCTGGAAGACCGCCGTCTGTGTACCCATCAACAGCTGAATGCTCCAGGGTCTATGTTGACTTGTCAGTTTTAATAACTTTTCTTTGTGTGTGTGTGTGTGCATGTGTGTGTATTTGTGTTTTTTTCAGGGAATTTGCGAAGGAGAGAGAGCGTGTGGAGAAGAGGCAAGAATTCTTGAAGCTTCGCCGACAACAGCAAATAGAGAGAGAGTTAACTGGGTACCTGGAGTGGATCTGCAAAGCGGGTCAGAAACACAATCATATCTTTACACTGCAGGTGTAAATTTAGTTATTTATATATATATTATTTATATATATATTTATATATATAGTTATATACTGATTTTTACCGTTGGATTTCAATAACAGCTTTGCTTTACTTGATGTTAGCACTATTATGACATAATTGTTTATCATAATTTGTGTTGCAGAAGAAGTGATGCTGGCTGAGGAAGACAAGAACGCAGAAGAGAAATCTTTGGATGGAGCATGGTACAAACGAAAACACAACAACTCTGGTGAGGATTGGTATCTTCAGAATCAGTTTTCAACATTGAAAACATTTACATTTAGAACAACATGCAACCATCATTAAGAAGTTAAATATAAAAAGTGAGCTGAAATCTAAAAATCTTTGGATGCACATTATAAGACTTACAGGTCCCATATTTTTTAGGTTTAAAAAAAAAACTATTTACGTTTATTATAGCTTTGTGTGTGGCTATGTGGCTGTGCATACATGTGCCTGTGTATGTTTACATGTGTGCTCATAGACCAGACTAGCTCTCATCTGCAACTCACCCAGGATTACAATTAACCTTTATTATGGTTATAAAGGTGGAAGGCCAATGAGATCAAAATGCAGGAGAGAGAAGGAGGCTCACTGAAGTTAGCATTGTAATATGAGTGCCCTTCATGCAGCTGTGACTCACTTTTCTGTCATTTGAATACCGTCCTGTTTTTTACTCTTCCTTTTTAAGAAATTCTCAATAGCAAACTTGAACTGTGTTATTTTACAGAACGCCAACAGCAGTAGAGCAAATTTGGGTGTTATGTCAGCAGAATGGAAAATATTTGTACAACCTAAATTCTTATGTCTTTTATGATAAATATTGCATAAACCAAACTGGAGGCCTCTGTTTTTTTTCCTCTTAAGTTTTATATGTATGGTAAGGCTGCCTCCTTGGTTTAGTTATGGTTGTTTTCCTTTTCACTTACCATATCTTCCACACTATAAGGCACACTTAAAATCCTTTAATTTTCTCAATGAAGACATTTCACCTCTCATCCGAGAGGCTTCTTCAGTTCTTCTCGGATGAGAGGTGAAACGTCTTCAAGCAACTTAAAGAAGTCCAGACACTTTTCTTTCTAAGCTCCTTAGACTACAATGACCTGGATGACTGAGAACCTTCACAGACAACACAGCTTAGCATTCACTGTGTTTATGTTAGTATAATATAAACACAGTGAAGCTGGAGGAATTCAAACTTTTTTCCACTCAATAAAAGTTGAGGGTTCCCGATGGTTAGGAACAAATGCAATGGCATGGCAGGATGCTATAAACGGCCCAAACTTCAGTCAGGAATCAGGAGAACAACTGAGGTAATCCATCCACAATACGTGGTTAGTCATTAATATACTGCAACAACACGGGAATGGAGCAGCTGCCAGAGAAGTCAATATTAATGAATCAATGGTACGGAAGAGGAGGAAGAAAGAAGAATGAGTTCAGTAAAGTTTGACCTATCTGACTGTTTTGTTTCGCTTAATGCGCCTTATAATCCAGTGCACTTTATGTATGAAAACAGACCCGTGCCTTATAATCTGGTGTGCCTTATGGTCCGAATAATACGGTAAATCACTCATGGTCAAACCAGTGTTCCTCTCTGTCCTGGGTATGGACACCCTTGCAATTGGAAATATGGCAGCCTGCCTGAAGGTGCAGATAAATGGTAGATTCCTGGTCTGGTGACGTACATCTTCTGTGTTAAGCCATCCACTTACCCAGAGGTTGTTTTGTTCTCCTAAGATCTAGATAATGTTTATTGTCATATAGACAGTCTGAAGCAGAAAAAGACAATGCTATTCACCAGACCCTATAACACAGGGGAAACTACACCTAGTCTGTATGGTTTTCCTAAGATACTTAAAAAAGGCATAACTGTTTAAGAACTGTTAAAGGTATACTGTCAGTTCTGTCACCCCAAAATTCTCCAAGGTTCTGGATTTGGTCCTCAACCCAGAGGGCTCCAAAACACCACATTCCTGAACACAGGAATGGAGAATGTGGGAGACACCATTATGGAGGCATATGAAACAATTGCCTCTTAGGATGTTATGTCTCTTTTCACTTTGCCTTCCAGTTGCTGATGCAGTGCACATAGTCTCTAAGACATTACAGGATTGTGAAGGGTGCGCTTCACAACAGGAACACCCTCAACACCAACCAAATATGTCTGCTCTTGGAACTAAGTTTTATTTCACATGCAAGGGACAGACAGAGAGAAACATGGATCCACCATCAGCTTCCCAATTTCACCTGGCTAACTTAACAGTAAAAGTACTGTAAATGAACTAATGGCTCTGTAGTTCTCTATTTTCTCCATATTCATTAGTTCAGTTATAGTACTGTGAAAAAGTCTTGAGCCACACCTCAGTTCTTTATATACTGCTTCAAAAGACGCTCTTGTGGTCTAGAGGAATAGTTCTCCTTGCTAAAGCTCCTTTATACTTTTTTTCTTTGGACATTGGCTTCTTTCACTCAGTCCAGTCCTTGAACCTAATCTTTTTCAGACTTTCAAAAATTGTAAATTTTAATATTGTTGCTGATAGTTTTATATATAAATCCAATCAGTACTGAAAATCATTGTCAATGCCTGAAAAGTCAAGCATCAGAAAAAGAGTTAAGATTTGCTATTGATAAACATCATTCATAACTAAATGTGGTTATCCCAGCTGGGCATTTGTCAAAGTCGGGAACATGCATAAAGAATGATCCAGGCAATCTAGGACAGAAGGACCATTGCTCCTAAAGTAAACACTATTGGTAAGTTTTTATTTGTGAGGAGTATTGGAGCAGGTCAGACACAATTTTTTCAAAATAGAGTATTCTTTGGGCTTTCAACCCTCTATGCCAAAATTGGTCCACCCCAAGGATTAGCTCCACTGGTATACACAACTGCCAAGAGAATTGGTGTGAATTATACCATGGAGAAACAAAAAAAAAAAAAAAATTGGCTAAGCAGATGGCACAGCACAGAAGAGCAACACTTATGGTGCCTATTTACACCTACAGGCAAGTTGCCATTTGTTTAGTGATCAGTGCAATATACTGGATAGGGAGGAAGTAGGCCCATTACAGGACTATATATAAGGACTATATAGAAATTATTTTTTGTGCAAACCCTTTTGCATTTAATATTATTATGGCTTGTGCTGGATGAAACATTTTTCCCATTGAAAATGCCGTCTCCAGACAAACAGAATCAACTTTGATTTCCTCCTTTGGATTATTGAGTTCTGTCAAGGCACAATAGCTGAAAAACTGAATATTGCGTGGCATGTGGCAGAGTGAGGAAACCCCCCAAAACAAAACAAAACCAGAAGACTATTAATATATTATTAATAATATAATATTAAAGTATATGAGCTGCTTTCTGACTTAGTTCATATTCCTTTTTTATTTTTGTGTTTCCTTGATGTATTTGCAGTGCTAAAACGGACCAGGAAGAGTAAGAATGATCTCATCAATGCAGAGGAAGGGGAGGACCACTTTACTGACATCTCATCTGTTGGTGAGGACAGTGCCTTAGATTTGTGATGGTTCTGTATGTTAAACACACAGCATATCAATTGTCCCCACTGCAAACATTTACATCTGTTAATTGTAACATTAAAACCACTGACAGGTTATGTGATTAATTTGGATTATTTGTTAAACTGCAATATCGTGCTGGAAGACCTTGGGTCTTTATATGGCTGTTGCTTTGAAATGTTGGACTTTGTAGGACTTGGTCCCCTCCATAATTGTACCAGCAGGGACATGTTTAGCCACATGGTGTCCTTAAACTGCTTGCTCTCTGGCTGGTGTCCAAAAATGAAGTGGGCTTCATAGATAATTGGGAAATATCCTTGGAAACACTGGACTTTTTTGGGAGAAATTGTGTCCATCACACTTTACATGGAGCAGCTCTCACTTCTAGAATTCTAGACGAATTTATCAAACACCCCAAAATGTGACTGTCCAAAGTTTGAGTTTACATTTTACATGCATCTCTGAAGTTTTGCTCCTCCCCACTCCTCCAATATCTCATTCCCATAGAGACTGATACTTTTCTTATACTATCAAAAGCCAAATCAAAGAATAGCAAAAATCAATTTAAGTTTACAAATATGATACCTTCATATTTATCTCTTTATCTTTCAATATAAAGTTAATTCACACAGCTGTTGTTTTGAAATGACACTACAGCTTTGTGAATAAAATAGAATCGAATTGAACTGAACAGTCTGTAATCGTTTCAGACAGTTTTGCTGTCATGTTCAGGAAACCCTTTTGCTGTAGGCAGCAGTGCCTTCCAGCAGCAGGACAATACTCCCCATCACACAGCACAAACTGCATAGGAATGTTCTGAGGGAACAAAAAAGAGTCAGTGCCTTACTTAGTTGGCCTCCACACTTCCCAGATGATCTCAGGGATGCACCACAACAAGCCTAATTTCGAGACCCACTGAACCCACAAGATTAATATATCAGACACTAAAGGAGATAACAATAGACCCTTTCCTTAATAAGTCAGAGATGCTTTGGTAATAAAAAGGGTATCAACCCAAAATTAATTTTAATATTGTTGCTGATAGTTTTATCTATAAACCCAATCAGTACTGAAAATCATTGTCAAGACCTGCAAAATCAAGCATCAGTCAAGCTTGCTTATACTGTCTTAAATCAATACTATGTAATGGATACTTGAAAAGGAGTTAAGATTTGCTATTGACAAACATCATTCGGTAGATGGTGTTATTTTAATTCTGTTAAGCTGATTGCAGAAAAACAGAAAGTGAAATAAGAAAATCATAAGTAGAGGATGAAAAAGATTATACTGTTTATCAGGGCTTTCTGTGTCTTTAAAGGCTCTTAAATCTCCATCCATCCATTCACTTCCGCTTATCCGTTTTTAGGGTTGCAGGGTCTGGAGTCTATCCCAGCTGTCATAGGGCGAGAGGTGGGGTACACCCTGGACAGGTCGCCAGTCACAGGGATACACAGGGACAGACAACCATTCGCACCTATGGGCAATTTAGATTTTTCAATTAACCTATTCCCACAAAGTGCATGTCTTTGGACTGTGGGAGGAAGCCGGAGTACCCGGGGATAACGCAAACATGGGGAGAACATGCAAACTCCACACAGAAAGACCATGGCCTGATGGTGGAATTGAACTCAGGACCTTCTTGCTGTGAGGCAACAGGGCTAACCGTGCTGCCCGGGTCTTAAATCGGGTCTTAAATCTATTACAGGTCTTAAATGCTTTAACTCAAGTCACTGCAGTATCTGGTGCTGCTGTTTTAGCTTAATTTGCACATGTAGATTATGCACTTTGACTGCTTAAAGACTGTGTTTGGTCCGGGGCGGAAAACATACATAAAGGTGTTAAGAAGCGGACCCAAACACAGGTCTCTTCAGAGAGAAAACAGTGAATTTACTGTATCTACAGTGAAAAACAATAGGGAAAACATATACAAGTCCTGGAACTGGACTTGTAGATACACCCCAAGGTGGTGATCTTCAAAATCCCCACACAGTGCTCGCGTCCGTGAACATTGGAATGGCATATATCCAAACTCATATCCAATCTGTGACTCTGCTCCTGTTTCCTAGTAAAGATAAACACAATAAGTCAGCTAGGCAATCCGTCTTCAAAGCAAGGTTTTTCAAAAGCAAGTCCATGGCTGTACTGACGAGGTAAACTGAAGGATCGAGTGTCAACTGGACCTCAGCCACACTGTTAAATAAGACGCTCCTGATGCCGGTAATCAGCAGCAGCTGGCGGCGGCTGACGAGCAGCAGGTGTGGCTGCCTCCAGCACGAGAACACTTCTGGGTCAAAGGATCACCCGGCGCCCAATATTTCCGGGGGCGTGAGCATCAACTTTTATGCACATTACAGGGAGATGGAAAAAAGGAGATAGAACAACAAAATACTACACACGACAACAGAATATGCTTAACTAGACCATTGGGCAGGGTGACCCGCAAGGATCGCCAGCCCAGGGTAAACCTAAAACACATGGGCCCCCAGACAGGCCCATGACAGTCAAATTCAGAAGGCTATACACTAAAGTAGGAGAGCACCAAACTCTATCCTGATATATACATGATTTGAAACATTACCCTTAATTTTTTTAATTAATTGACAATAATTTATATCAAAAACTCCTAAATCAGACCAAATAGGAGTCAATTTAGGCCTGGCAGGCTATTGGGCTTTTCATAAAAGTAGCATGTTAATGAAAAATGGCTTTAGAATAATGAAGAATACTGGTGGTTTTAGCAACAACATTTTTAAATGACTAAATGCATAATCGCCACAAAATACTTTAACTTTACCTTATTCTTCATTTTGATTTGAGGTCAACATATTTTCTTGAAAAACACAGATTTTAACTTTTGAGTTATAGTTCCATCTTGAGTTTGGCTTAAATTTAAAAGAAATATTGCAAAGTTTTAAAATAAATTTGATAAGGCTTGTTGTACAGTATACAGTGTCAATAACAGCTAAGTAGAGACAAACATAAAACTGGATAATGTAGTCACTTAGGTGATACAGTATGAGTCAGAGGTCGTGTCATAAACTGGCTGTGTGGAGGCAGATGAGCACCCAAACGCAAAACTCACGGAGACAAAAAGCTGAACTCAAAATCACTGCTTTATTGCAGGCTTCACAAAGAAACAGAACTAAACTGGGAATGCTAACTGAGGACCGAGGGAACACAGAAAGGCACACAGGCTTGCGCACACAAATTTTAGAATAATTTATATTATATAATGTGTTTTTCTGGATACACTGTGCTTTTTCAGCATTCAAAGATTGATGACACCGTGTCCGAGCACTGGCTATGAATTTCAGAAGGACCAGGCCTTAACTTAACAGAAAAGTTAGCAATAGTTCTTTTCCTATTACAGCTACATCCACGTCTGTCGTGCTAGGCTGCTCACTAGGGCTGGATATCATCACTGATTTCTATAATCCATTCGATTCCAGTTTTCAAAGTCCCGATTCGATTCAACTTAGCCTCAGACAGTCAGAAATATTATAATTCTGATCATTTATCAGTACTGACTTCTTCAGAATTGTGAACATCACAGCAGATGCCTTTGTGTGAAAGTAACTGAGAATAAAACACAGAAAAACATGAAGGAGTCTGGTCTGGCTTTTTATAGCAGATAACCTTAAAAATATTCTACAATGTTCTGCATATAAAGTTTAAATTTCTTCAGTATTGAACAACAGAAAAATAGGCTTTCTTGTCCGAGGTCATTTAAGTGAAAAAAAGAAAAGAAAAAGACAGCAGCCTACAGTGCTGTAAACAACGGTAGACTGGTGGGTAATAAGCGAATGAATAATACAGAAAACAGAGATTGGAGACGGGAAACTGTTCTTGAAGTACAGAGAGAGATAGAGAGAGAGCTAGCTGTGCATGAAGTGTGATTTTAATTGTTGTGGAAGCAAAACAGCAAAATTCATGACGACATTGCTGCTTCTTTTGCTGCTGACTCGGTGAATTTTGGTTGGAGAGAGACAAAACCTGCAGCTCAGAATCAGCGCAAAAAGACGTAAACACAGCGCGGACCGCACGCATCAGAATCGCTAAGCTCCGACAGCGTGTCCATCTACGGGCCGTCGGGTGAGAAAGCCGAGAAAGACAAAGTTGATTCTGATGCGTCGGTCCGTTCTGTGTTACGTCTTTGTGTGGAATCCGTGTACCTGCTCTCATTTGCTGTTTGGTTGATGTTGAAATGGTTTTGTGGACTTTAATCTGAGAATCTGGCGTTTCTGGCAAAACACAGTTATATTTAAAAGTCGATTCAGGATTTAATAAATTGATATCACTTTATTCAAGCTACTCACCTCTCACTTCCTTTTTTTTATTTTTTTTATTTTTTTTTAAATTTTATTTTCACTTACTGAATACGGGACAGACTTGACTGGGGGAAAGAAAGAGGGAAAGAGAAACAGCTGAGAAGAGGGACGGGGGAGAAGGGCAAAAGACAAAAACCAACAGAACGGGCAGAAAAAAAAAGAAAGAAAAAAAATGCATATATCAATCACCTGGATCACCTGCTGAGAAAGAAAAAAGAAAACAAGCAGAAGAGAACAAGAGTAATAGAATAAACAACATCACAATGATATATGGGAATATGACAGTAAATACTAAATATTAAACATTATTGTGCAGCACATAAGATCAACAGAACACAGTGTGCTTTGAGGTAGGAGCCAAAAAGGGTGTAGTTTGTGGGTGTGATCACCCGTGTGTACACCTATGAGCATGGACGCGCTTGTTTTTTTAAAAGGTTCCTTCATGTAATGATCTGCTAGAGGGTGTGGGGGGGCCACAGCCCCGTCCTCCAGGGCATGAAGCAGGTATGGAGGAGATCAAGACTCCAGACATCCAGAGGCCCCCAGAACACAAGAGACCAAGGAAGACCAACAGAGGGGCAGCCGCGCCACTGTCCCAGAAAGAGCTGAGGAGAGTCCCAGATGAGGGCTCACTTGGCAGCCGCGGAGCAGA